CCATTTCATTATCATTGACAGAAAAAACTGCTTCGTGTATAGTCTACTAGCTACTCGCCCCGTGTGTACATGTATTATACACATAAACCTTCCTCTTGAATCACTCTGTCTATTAAAAGCCGCTTCAAAATCCGTTGCGTAGTTTCAAAGATTTAAGCATACATAGAGACGGACAGACAGCGACAGCGACTTTGTTTTATGCTATGTAATGATTAGCTGACCAACGTAATTTCGTCTACATCACATTTATAATTATATTTCGTCCATTTTACATATCGTCTTAAACTATAACGTATGTGTTATTCTATTAATAATCTGTATTACTGTAAAGTGTCATCACAATCTGTTCAGTAGTTTTTGCATGCAAGAGTAACAAACATCCATCCATCTATCCATACATAACACAAACATTCATCATCATCATCATCATCATCATTTCAGCCCGGTAGACGTGCACTGTTAAACAAAGACAAAGATTTCCGCGACGGTCGGTCATACTTATTATAACAAACTTTCGGGTTTGTTTGATAACTCCACTCCTCAGCATTTGACCAAGTTCAGTAGTATATGTTCTTTTCAGCATAACATCTGATCACCGGATCCCACTGTTATACCCAAACTGATACAAACAATCATCATATTCATGGATACAAATGTTTGCACCATGCGAGGATTCGAACCCGCGACCATCGGAAGTAAAACGGTGTACTAAACCGCTACCACCATTCACCGAGGTCGTCAAGTAAGAATGGATGGATGAATGTTTGTTACTCTTTCACGCAAAAACTATAGAAATCTGAAAGATACCGGGATCCGGATCCACTAAGGATCCGGACTGAGGGACCAGTTGCCGCTGAATTCGTGGTAGAATGATATATTCAAATAACACGACATCGCGACTCCGGCCCTGGCGCTCGGCCACCGTATGGTGTTTTAGTGGGTAAGAATCCTGCCCATCCCTTCATCACCCATATGAAGAGGAATGATGAACATTTTTGTTTATAAAGGGGAGTGCTCTAGTGAAGATTTTTCTACCCATAAATAAAAAAGGAGTAGTTTTCCGGAATGGTAACGCATGGATGGTATCACGAGCATCATATAATAACGCGCTATTTATGTATAATACATAGTAAATGGTTTATGATCATTATCATTATCATTACATAGTATAAAACAAAGTCGCTTTCTCTGTCTGTACGTCCCTATGTATGCTTAAATCTTTGAAACTACGCAACGGATTTTGAAGCAGTTTTTTTAGTAGATAGAGTGATTCAAGAAACAATATATAATACATCTACCCGCGCGAAGTCGAGGCGAGTTTTAGCTAGACACATAGTATAAAACAAAGTCGCTGTCGCTGTCTGTCCGTCCCTATATATGCTTAAATCTTTAAAACTACGCAACGGATTTTGAAGCAGTTTTTTTAGTAGATAGAGTGATTCAAGAGGAAGGTTTATATATATAATACATCTATCCGCGCGAAATTGAGGCGAGTAGCTGGTTAGCTAGACACAGTATAAAACAAAGTCTCTGTCGCTGTCTGTCCGTCCCTATATATGCTTAAATCTTTAAAACTACTCAACGGATTTTGAAGCAGTTTTCTTAGTAGATAGAGTGATTCAAGAGGAAGGTATATATATAATACATGTACACCCGTGCGAAACAGAGGCGAGTAGCTAGTAACATAATAATAATAATTATTTATTTATCTTTACAAACATGGATGGCAACAAATACATGTAGTAGTTTTGATAATACAATGCTTGTTTACAATTAAAATCAATTTCTTCGAGAAGCTGATGTCTGAAATAGGTATAACCACAGATCACCAGACTCGATTAATATTGCAATCAGAAGGGTCTTCTATTTTAAACGCATTGCACTTATTTAAATTACGTTCTTCTACCGATATTCTGCCGGCGATGAAAATATCAAATTTCACTTCTGGAATCAATTAAAAATTAATTAAAATGCGCTCGTTTGCGACCTAGTTTGGCAGTTTGCGATCTCATTCAGTATTCAGGGCATATCACCTGATTTGTTACTTCCTATGCATATATATTTATAATCTTAGTATAAGATAATATCTATAATAATACGAATATAATTAATTATAAGCTTTGTTATAAAATTTAATTAATATAGTCATCTGTACAGTTGAATAAAAATAAAATTAATCATAATACGAATTTTGACGGCCTCGGTGGTCTAGCGGTTTGACGCACTGCTTTACTTCCCGTGGTCTCAGGTTCGATTGCTCGCACACTTTTTGACGTAGGTACTGCTTTATTTCTATACTCATAATTAGTGTCCTCGCACGGTGCAAATATTTGTATTCATGACTATGATTGTTTATATAGGTCTGGATGTCTTCTATGAATATTACGTATGTATATAAATAAAAAATGTATATAAGTATTTAATCCGTTCTCTAGTAGCCATAACACAAGCTCTGCTTAGCTTGGGACTAGATGGCGCTAAAATGTTCTAAGATATTATAAAAAAAATATCACGACTATAATTCCAGATGGGGTAGCCACTATTAACAGTATACTTCATGATGAATACAATATTTTATATGGGGTGGAAGGAGTTTATTAGCAACGTAGACTAATGACTCCATTGCTAGCAATACAGGTTGACCTCCACGCGGTACTCCCTGGAAACCATTATGATAAAATGCTGAATTTATCACGGCTTACTGACCTAACTTTATGTTCATCTTATCATCCTCCACTGGTGCCCCGTCAGCATAAACCGTTAGCGAAGGCGGGTGCACTATTTCTTTATCATCCAGTAGAGCAGGCGGGTGTACCTTTATCGTCCACTAAAAAAAATATATTTGACATGTCTCAGCTCTTTTCTACCGCATATATCACGGGGAGTGTTCTGAAGAATTGTTCGGATTAATACCAGCTGCTGGGTTTCACCACCGTACCACCCGCCGGAAACTGAAATACCATCCTGATCATCTGGATGAATGGCGGTCTTCCACAGTGCGGTTTTCTAGAAACTTTTTGCCTCGCACAACCACATTGTGGAATCACCTTCCAGCAATGGTATTTCCGAACCGATACGACATTGAAACCTTCAAATAGCTTATTCCTACTTAAAAGGCCGAAAACGTACTTGCAATTCCCCTGGTGTTGCGGGTGCTCATGGGCAATCAGTTACCATCAGGTGAGTCGCATGCTCGTTTGTCCCCTGTGTTATAAAAAAAAAATGTCTACAATTCGCTCGCTATATTTGAATCCAACGTAACAGTGGGCTTACCGCTGTCTTTCATATTTCTCTAGGTTAATAAAAATTCAAAATATTCTTTATTCATGTAGGTCTATAACAGACTCTTACGATATGTCAAATCTACCGTCAGTTCAGAATGATTTCGAGATGAGAAGAACTGAAAAGTAACTCAGCTCGTATTCTTTTCAAATAAATGTTGTACATGTGTACAATAATACAGATTAATTTAATTTCAAGTTTGGGAGAAATAGACTGACCACCAGCATATGTTATTGCAAAGCAAAAAGTCTAATTAGTGTTCGTAACCTGGACAGACCAGTCTCCACAAGCAGCAGTTCACGAGTATGACGGATGAGCCAGCCATCGGCGAAACATCGGAAGAGAAAAATGATCCTAGTGAGACTCCGCTGTTATCGATAGTTAGAAAAGGTATTCAATTAATTTTTGAATCCCAGGTTAAAAATAGAGATTACAGCTTTACACGACCATATCACGATAAAAATATAATAATAATACTATTATTTTAAATTAAATGTTATTATAATTACATATATAGTAGATATATCCCACACTTATTATAATACTGGCATAAGTCAAAAATTACAAATGTTGGTAGGTCTACTTTATAACTGTGGTATTAAAGTCTAATTTCAAAAAACTTTAATTTCTGTATTACTCCACTATTAATATAGTATTGATACAGATAATAACACACACACACATAGAAAATACTTATTACTTTGAAATTAATAATGTCTATTATTATTGTAGCAGAACAATGCGGAATAATGAAATTCGATTTTATTGAATCCAGATGATATATATATATATATACATGTGTATTCATCATCATTACATAGTATAAAATAAAGTAGCTATCGCTGTCTGTCCGTCCCTATGTATGCTTATATCTTTAGAACTAGGCAACGGAGGTTGAAGCGATTTTTTTTAATAGATAGAGAAATTCAAGAGAAAGGTTTATATATATAATACATGTACACCCGTGCGAAGCCGCGGCGAGTAGCTAGTGTTCAATATAACAATGCCTTTCGTGATACTTTGCAAAACTATTGTATATCTGAATCTACTGCAACATACATCCTGTTATCATGTCTAAATGACATACACTGAGTTCGATTTAATCATCAGAACAATACGAAATGTATACCAAAGCATTACATATTGGTTTCCTTCTTTTTCTGATGGTCCTACATATGGAAATTGCAGAAAAGGTCAGTTATTATATACTGTTTTAAATTTGACGCTAATTTGACGATATATTTATACGTATAATTAGTATAAACCACGGAATCCTACCACGTTTTATATTTATTGAGTTCCCGATATTTCGGCAGTGTTTCAACCGCTATGTTCAGTTTACACGTGATTATGTCGATTGAAACAAACAAGTGGTAAGATCCCGTGTATTTTACTAATTATATTAGTCCATTATATTATATTAATTACGTATTTTAACAATAGAAGAACATATAACGATTTGTCACGATGGGTTAATGGACCTCCACTGACGCCCTGCCATAGTGAAACGATAGCGCAGGCGGGTGCCTCATTCCATAAACATCCATTAAACTAATCTGTTTCAGATTCGATACATAAGTACAGAACGTCCCCGTGTAACATATTACAATACTAAATACTTTTCTTTTGTGAATTTATCGTCGAGACGATTTAACAGAAGAAATCCTTTTTATTATGTGGATTTGCATGTCAACACTCTATTTCCTCTAGACGATAACATGACGGTAAGTTCATACTATATAATTAAAAACACTGCATTAAATGTATCATTATTAAAACATACTCTATCAGTGTTGAGGAATCGAACCCGCGACCGTTAGAAGTAAGGCTGACAATGATGATGACAGATTACATTAATTGCCATTGGGGTAGGCTGACTTAAGAAACTCATATTTAGAGGGAAAATTTGAATTAAGAATTGCAGGTAAATGTCAGTACATTGCCTTGCAATTCTTAATTTAAATTTTGACAGCAGTCCGTCTCCCAATTTATTCTCAATTTATTCATAAATGTAACAAATATCGTTACACAATACCACGTCAATAGTAATTACATGTTTTTTTTTTCAAGATAATTATGTCACAATTACAATTTAAACTATTCAAATTAATAAATTAAATTATATACATATCTATAAAACTAATTAAAAGTCAGCTAATTGAAAATGCCATAATTTTACATTGGAATTCAGATTTTCAGTCACATTGTGAAAAGGAGGTTGCTGGAAATATGATTTTATTTTGTACTTAAATTCTATTGATGTCAATTGCATTGTTTTATTAGATACTTTTATAGTCTGTTTTTAATCCCGGACACAAATTTGACATTTCAGATGTTTCAGATTTATTCAATTTCAAAATAGGGTTGAGGCACTATTGGAAATTAATATTAATTACCGATTTTTATAAGTTACTCAGAATTAATATGTGGCTTTTAGTTTTAAACGTATTAATAAAAAATTACAACAGTACTGGAAACACTAGTATATGTACCTAATTTCTGAAAATATGTTGTGGAAACGTCATCTCATGTCAAGCTTTAAAACTAATATGTTAAAATAAAAATTTTCGATTAAACAATTCGGTATCAAACTGCAGTGGACGTCTTCTGGGCTGAGATGATGATGATGATGATGATGAATTCGGTATACAGGTACTCTAGTAATATTATTTGAGAATTTGACATTTACAACTGTCAATTTAGTCTCCGGAATTAAAAAAAAAATCAAGCAATTAAATAAATTATTATTATTAAAAACAGTCTAGGTACAGTATTATTGATAAACATAAGTTTTATAATAATCATAATTCTTACTATTATAATATTATAAACGCGAAATAAATCTGTCTGTCAGTCTCGCCATCAAGTCAAATCTACTGAACCGATTTAAATGAAATTTGGTATACAGATAGTCTATACCCTGAGGAGGGATATGCTATTTTTGTTTAATGTGAAAAGGAGTTGTAACTGGTAAAGGGTAGATGCAAGGTTGTATGGAAGTATCGTCATTTTTTAAGCTAGAAGCTTGAAACTAATATTTTTAGGCTTTTGATTACGTATAAATAAATATTACATACAATGTTTGTAAAATTCTTACCCTTAAGGGACTAAAATGGGCTGTGAAAATTTGTATGGAAATTCGTCATTTTTGAAGCTAGAATGATGAAACTATTTTTTTTATTGCTTGGGTTAGATTCTTTATTTGTATACTTTATTTAGTCATGGTTACTTTTCCACAGTGACGAAGTCGCGGGCACAGCTAGTTATATCATAAAAGTTTTTGTTAATTAGTGTTTCTATATCATAAAACATATATTTCAGGTACATTTTTACATCACTCAAGACATAAGTAATGGATATTTTCGACCGTTGTTTGAAATCCACCGAAAATGGTGTAATTTTATTACTATGGAGAAAATGTTTGGATCCGCCATGAGGCAGGGCAGACTGAAAAAGCCATGTCCACATCCCCCGGTAAGTTACTGCTGGTGAACATTATTTCTTAGTGCATTTAATCTATAAAATTCACAGCATAATATCCCTAAAAGACACGGCCTCAGCTTCTGTAACAGCGCAAACCGAAGTCGGTATTCATAGCACCTGAATTAGCAAACCATGAGAGGGACTACCATGAGAATGAAAAGGTTTAAGGAGCTCGCCAATACAGAAGTAATAGAGAAGAATACAGAATGATCCATACTAAAATCAAAACCATAATAGTAATACGGTAACCATTTACCATCAGATGGGACGTATGCTTATTTGCCATTATAAAATAAGAATGAAGAAATAAAAATACTGGACAGAGTCGAACAAACAGCGTTCAAAAATCACATTATAGTGTTGGAGGTATGGACCACAGTTGCAAAAAAAGGAAAAAAGCACCAAGGGTGTACTTACACCCTTGGTGCTTTTTTCCTTTTTTTGACGCTATGAGGGTTGGTGTCGACACGGTCGCAGTCGGGGCCAGATTGGATTGGTACCAGAGGAAAAAAGCACCAAGGGTGTACTTACACCCTTGGTGCTTTTTTCCTTTTTTTGACGCTATGAGGGTTGGTGTCGACACGGTCGCAGTCGGGGCCAGATTGGATTGGTACCAGAGGAAAAAAGCACCAAGGGTGTACTTACACCCTTGGTGCTTTTTTCCTTTTTTTGACGCTATGAGGGTTGGTGTCGACACGGTCGCAGTCGGGGCCAGATTGGATTGGTACCAGAGCCTCAGAACACCATCAATTAGTTATAAGGCTAAACGAGAGAGAGAGAAGAAAGAGAGAAGCTACACTACTACACAAACAATTAACACAATACGTTTCGCGGAGCAAATGAGGAAAAGAAGAAAAAAAGAATTTAAAACAAAACACAAAAAAGGGCATGGACTTAAAGGAAATTACATAAAAAAATCCATAATCTTTTAGTCGTAACAAACTGACAGAGACACGGTATATGGTTTTTATAAAATTTGTAGAATGAGTCATGTATCTACATTTCTGGTAATCATCAGTCCACAGTTCTGACAATGCGCTTCCCCCCGCACGTATGAATTTATGAATATTATTCCTGTCTGAATTACAAGAACGAGTGAAGTGGCGTACAAAATATCAAGAAATAAACCAGATGACTTGGTTATAATTAAAGATGAACAACTTCCACCTATGAAATAGCTGCTTGGTCATGTTGTAAAGCTTTATACTGGATCAGATGGCATCACGAGAGTGATTCATCCTGAGAAGAGCCGTTTCTAAAGCATGATGCATAGAAGAATCAAGATGCGACACCCGAGTCCTTGAAAGAAGCTTTCAAAGGGGCCCAGTATGTTAAAACCTCACCGTAATACAATATAAATAATAACTGGTTCCTGATGTGGTGAGGCGGGGAGCGGTGCGTGCGTTGTCTAGTTTTTATGTTATGTGCATATTGCGATCTCTGTAATTGCATCCATCATTCATTCCATTACACACATTTCTACAAAGCGCTGTATTTTATTTCGTACCCATATCGTCTTTAACAAAGGGAAAAATAGAAAGAAGGAGGTGAAGAAGACCAAGGCATAGTTACATAAAGAACAAAGTTGAACCGGCGTCGTATCAACATTCAAAGATGATGATAGAAAACTGTGACAAGTGGCAAGAGTTCCTCCGACAACGGCACTAAACGTATGATTCTACGAAAAATCAAAAGAATATTGAAAGCACAATATCTTTTTTAAAATTTATCTAATCTTAAAACTGCTCATGGACAGTGTTAATAACCTACCATCCTGTGAACAGTATGCTCATTTCAATTTCAGTAAAACACAATTAATGATTTTGCGTCCTCTTCAATAAATCTTTAGATGTTAACTTAACTTTTAATAATATAAATAAAAAAAATATAAGTTACTAACGGTTTACGCTGGCGGGGCACCAGTGGAGGATGATAAAATGAACATGAAGTCAGGTCAGTTAGCACATCGAGACAAATTCACCGGAAATTTATCACGATGGTTTCCAGGGGGAACCACGTGAAGGTCGACCTGACATGGTACATTGCTAGCTATGGGATCAGTCCACACTACTAACAATCCCCTTCCCTCTATTGTAACATTATAGAATGCAAATTAATAAATAACCCCATGCTATAAAAAATGGGTCATTTACTAGTTGACATACTCAGATATGAAAAATCTTTGTTTCAGGGCGACTACCATATGTACAATATGAGCATACCAGTAGAGAATATACCGAGAAGCTTGCCATATTTCAAAGGTCGTATATATTGTAATGCTACGCATGTATCATCGAAAGAACCGATAGGTTCCGGATACATTGATATGGACATGAAGGAGTATAAAAAAACAATAAACTAGATACTTGATGAACAAACAATTGTTTCTCTCATAGATAACTTTATAAAAGACCTAAACAACAACGTCTAGCCGTATAGAGCTTAAAATGACATATGAACCTGAAAACCGTTAGACCATCGTGCCCATCAACATATGTACAATATATAGGTTCTAAGTAATATCGTACTTAATGCATATACTTAGTATATATCATACTGTTGTATATATATCATATTATCTAGTTGATGGACTCAATGCTTTAGCCGTTTAGCACCTTTTTACTTCCAATGGTCGCGGATTCGATTCCTCGCACAGCACAGACATTTGTAGTCATTAGTATAACTATTTGTAACGGGTATTTTCTGAACTTATTGTAAACTAGCAACCGGGACGGTTCAAAACCTTCCTCTTGAATTACTCTATCTATTGCTGAAACTGCATTACAATCTGTCGCGTCATTTAAAAGACAACGACGCGACTTTGTTTTATACTATGTAAAGATTTTATAGTTATAATATTTATTAATACATTTTATGCCTGTATTATTCCTACCGAGGAAGACTTTGGATGAAATATTCGTATGTAGTCAAATATTTCGCCTATTTCTATACGCCGCGCAGTAGGTATATGTAGGCTACCAACCTCCTTGCATAAACTAGCCATATAACACAGATACATTTAATAAAAAATAAATTGTCAAAATGTCAAATTCATTCGCTTGTAAATTACTGATCTAAATAAGTTGTTAAATTAATTATTATTTGTTATTTTTAATTCTGATATTATATACACTGTTATATATTCAATCTTTTATTAATATCACTCCCTCTGTATATCAACACGCCAACCTAACCACATATATAATAAATTGTTTAGTAAACTGTATTCTGTTTGAAATATTGAATTAAACAGTAATTACAAAACATAAAGGCATGACATTTTAGTCTCTCTAGATCTCTCTATAGTTGTAACAAAACACAATAAAAAAAAAACACTGAATGTAGACTCTGTCGCTCAGATACTATTGTATTTATGAGAAAAAAAACACCTGAACTACACAGGCCCTACTGCCTGCGTAGTTTAGGTGTTTTATATAACAAATAAACAAATCCAAGCAAACGAAAACAGTTATAACTACACAAGGGTGCTATTTCTCGAACTAGTGACGCCATTACGCGCGTGTATAGTACTTTTGTTGTCCCCAAGTGTACGGTCGGAATGATAAATTAACAACATAAAAGGGTTTTCTTTTCACATGTTATTGTTTTATTAGTGATTTCAGGAAGTACTTTTTTGTATTATTTATTTATTTATTTAATTCCAATGGCTCGTTCTATAAAGGATTCTTTAACTGTGCAGATTTTTAAAAATAAATTTAAAAAAATACTCTTCCTCACTCAGAAGACTGTGCCGTGATGTGTCTGCCCTCCAAAGGCAGGGTAATGCAAGGTGTCGCCCTACTAGTGTCACCAGAACTTTATGTTTATTTTATGTTTCAGTGTGTAGTTATGTTTGATGTTTATTTATATATTGTAGTATGTCGTAAATACATCATTCATCTAGGCGGATTACACAGAGTAAACAACTCTGTGTTATCCGCCTAGATGTATGTGTATTATTATTATTATTTTATTATATTTATTATCTATGAAGGTACCCACAGAATACCAACGTCGTGGCACCCCGTCACGACATATGCTGAGCTGTGACCTATTTGGTACTATAAAATTAATATAAACCGATAAAATGTAAATTAAAATTATTTTCAGTGTACCAAATAAACAATTTTATTTTCACTTTTTTTTGCATATTATAAATACTTTACAGACATAACATGATTTTGTATGTAATTAATAAGCCTTAATTTTTGTTTATTTATGTATTTATACAGGTATATTAGTATGTTTATATATTTGCATATATATATATTATTTTTCTGTATTTTTATATATTTGTTTTTCTTTATTTATTAATTGTTAAATTGCACCGCCTTATGATGTCTGATCCAAGCGATGGTTGACTTGTAGAGAATGCCATCAGGCATTAAGTCCGCCATTTTTGTATGCAAAACAATAAATAAATAAATAAACATGAAAGATATTAAATTTAACATAATGTGTGATCATTTCACTGATGACGGTAATCTGCCATGGTCATACTACGATGGTAGGAAACAGGCATGCGGCTCATCTGATGGTAAATGGTTACCATAACCCATGACGCTTGAGACACCAGTGTCACGTGCGCGTTGCCGACTCTTAAGAAAACTTAATATACCCTTCTTAAAAAATCCCATGCTGCAGTGCGGAAATCTCGGCAGGTAGTTGTACGCGGGAGGAAGCACCTCTGAAACCCCAGAGTTTACCTCGGGCGACGTTATCGCGTACGTCGGATATGTTTCCTCGGTGCGTAATCAACCATACTGACTATAAATGGGTTTGGGTGAGATTGGGCGGAGTAGAAGTAGCGTCGAGACTCTTCCTTCATGAACTTTTTAATCGAGGGCAGATTGCGATCACGGTGGAGATCTACGCTACGAACGAACCACAACGCACCAGTGGCTCGACGCGGAAACTTATTTTCCACTATTTGCAACTTTATGATGAGATCAAAAGTAGCGACAACTCATCACATTATATTACGCTACAGT